AAATTAGTGCTGTCAAACGATTAATCGCGATTAATCGCATCCAAAATAAAAGTTTTTGTTTACATTATATATGTACGTATACTGAGTATATTTATTATGTATATGTAAATACACACACATACAGTATATATTTTGAAAATATTTACATGTTTATACATTTATATATTCATATTCTTATATTATATTATATATAAATATATTTAATATATAAACATAACATATTTTTCTTAAATATATACATGCATGTGTTTGTATTTATATATACATAATAAATATACACATATATATTATGTAAGGAAAACTTTTATTTTGGATGCGATTAATCGCGATTAATCGTTTGACAGCACTATTAAAAATATACTTTTCATTTAGTGACAAAACAATGTGGAAAACATGCATTTATTACTTTTTAACTAGATTTTACTATATTATATTTGAAGAGTTCATTTGCAAAAACAGATAACTCAGTTTTTAACAATTATCAAAAATCATGTTTTTTCATTGTGCATTCCAATTAATCTCAATCAAACTGCAGTTGGGTTATTTTGATTAGGTTAAAAAATAACTTAAAAATACAGCTAACTAACACAATAAAACACAATCAAAACATTATAACATAATAAAAAAACATGATTTTTGAAAATAAAAAAAACCAGTTATCTGTTTTTGCAAATAAACTCTTCATTTCTTGCATTTATATAAACATCACATTATATTGAGAGATATATTGAATATCATCAAAAGGCTGAAAAATATCATGATAATTTTTATTGCCCTGCCCTACTTTATATACACATACATACACTCTATAATATTTATTCCCCAAGGCTGTAAGCTGTAAGGCTCCCATTAACTTCCTAATGGGGTTTGAAGAGACTGTGTTTGTCCCAGGAAAATCAGACTTTCCCTAAAGCCCATCTCAATATCCAGCACAGGAGGCTCTGATAGCTTGATGGTATGGACTTGAATGTGTGTGGAAGAGGTGTGTGTATCTGTTTCTGTAAGCATTTCCTGTAAGCCTATGCCTCGATAAGCATTTATAAGAATCAAAGTGGTTGCTAGTGAAATCTATGCGTCCTGTATGTACACACACAGGCGCCGATCCGAGCGTTTACTACCTGACTGTGGGTTTTATAGCTTTGATGCACCTTTACATAATAAAGCTGCATCCAATTGTTAAGCTGCCTTCCCAGAATTCCCGAGGGGTCAATTCCCAAGTGGGCAGGTTTCTCAGAAGTGCTCCCTAAAACGAAGCCTTAAGTTGCTCAAAACTCCCTGGCATCCCTGAAAGCAACCTCTAATTTGTGGTCTACATTTAATCTCCCATAATGCTTCTCAGGCTGAAAGCCGTTACAACTTCGCATCTCATAGATCCAGATGGCTTCTTGGCAGAAAGCAGAGCTACAAACCTGGATAAGCGTCTCGTGAGGTATAGATCCTGAATATAAGAGTGAAATTATGTCAATGTTTTCATTAGGCCTAAAGAGAACTTTTTAAATGTTCATATTTTTATCATATAATATTTTACCCTGAGGTCCAATTATAACTTTAGTGTTTTTTGCAGGAAAAGCCATTGCTAAACAGTAATTTAGTTTCCCAATTTCCATTCCATTCCATATCCAACCTACTTTTAGAATTAAACATTGCTGTGCATTTAAGACTTCTATGTAAATGTCCTCTTTTGCTGCATTTAAACATGAGCTGCAGGTTTTCTGTCGAGTTTAATGTAGTTTTTCAATAACAGCCTCTTTGTGAAGCCTGAATTAAACTCTGACATTCATAAAAAATGCACTAAAATTAAATAATCGAAAATAATTAGAAACCTTGTTTAAAAAAAAAAAATCAAGCCACTCATATTTAAAGATCTGCAGAGTGTCAGGTGCTACACACAGCTAATAACACTGTGACTGAACAGGCCAGGTTTCTGAACACCAAATACATGTTCATTGCGTTAAAATGTCAAACGCTGCAGGAGAATATAATGAAAAAGCCATTTTTACAGCTTAGTTTCAATAATGCTCTTTTTTCTCAGAGGAGGAAGTTTTGAGTTTTGAAAGGTACTGTATGTTTTAACAATACAATGAACTCTACTATCACAAAAGGGATCAAGGAACGCTTTATTCCTCATTGAAATGACTCATTTCATTTTACAAGTAATAACAATACTGAGCCATTTTCGCTGAAATGCATTATAATGCTCGGAGTATAATGAAATACATAATGTTACGCTCTGAATTTTAGTTACAGGTTATAAAAAGTTACTGTCAATATGAGCAGCTAATACTGTTGCCCAGCACTTCAGGCTAAAGTACAAACACTAAATTCTCTCATTTTCCAGTAAAGGAGCTGAAAGCTGCTGACCTTTTTGCAAAATGTCTAGCTGTCTGGGGTGGAGTGCAGCGGCGCTCTGAAACCCAGATCAGCTGGGGCTGGAAAATGGCTTGTTTATTTTCAGCAATGAAAGAGGGGAAGTGAAAGTAAGTACACACACATTTTGTTTTGACTTCATATAACAGCAGATGGTTTCCGCACTGTACCAACAATAATACGACAACTCAAAACCTCTTTTATGTTTTTTTTATGTTTATGTTGCTCTGGGCAAGAACTGGAGATGAAAACAATAACTCCCAAACCACAAAGCAAATATGAACTCCTGTGTGTATGCTGGGACTAGTGAGTAACTGACAATGAAAACAAATCTAATCTAACTATTATGGTTTAGATAACACTTCACATTTACATTCTGTTGGGCAAAGAACTAGTGTTAAGAAAAGTTTTTAAGTGTTAATCAATTAAACTATACCAGCTAGTTTATTTATTTATTTTTAATCAAAGTTTTCATGCAGGAGTTTTACTTACAAAGACTTTAAGTGCACTAAAAAGTGAACTAAGTAAAAAAAACAGCCTAGTTCAATTTGCATTCACACTGTGCCTAAGAAGTAGATTCAGGTCTTTTTTGGTGCACTTTACATCCACACTGCCATTTTACTCCTTGTAGGAATAACTCTGATACTATTTTGCTTTTTAAGCTTAAAAAGCTCCATTCCCTATTCATTGGAAAGGCACTGATTTAAAATACATTTTAATCCGTTTGGCTAATTTATGCCAATTTAAATAACACGCCCTCTCCATAACCCCGCCCTCCGAAGACGCGCCAGCCAATCCGATGTCAGCAAACCTGACCGCGCCAAATGATTGACAGGCCGATGGCGTTTCTGATTGGTTCCTCGATTAGATAGCTGTGATTTCTCAGAATATCGATTTCAGTCAACATCAGGTATGATGAGACATTTTATATGAGATGTTAACATGTCATCGCATGCAAATCTGTAACGTAATCAAGTTTGTAAACTAAAATTATCCAAAACGGAATCTCACCTGGATCCTCCGCCGGCGGATGATACCGGAGTCATCCATGGCATCGCTCATCTCGTCGTGTCAGTCTAAAAAACCCTTCATCGATCACATCCGAGTCCACGTGGTGACAGACGCCTACAGCTGACGTTCAAAAGTTTCTCCCCTTTGCATTTCCCTCCTCAGGTAACGTTAGAGAAGACCATGGGCGTTGCAAAGCGATGCGCGAGACACATAAACAAACACTCGGCTGATTGAAAGTGCACCAGATAACTGTTTTAAAATAAACCGGGATATCGTTTTATAATGATTAAAACGCTCCGATTTCAACGAGCAGGGTCAAATTCCCCGGTTTTTACGGTCAGAAACGAGTAAAAGGTTCATTTTGAGTGATCTTGATCACGAGCTTTCGGAGAGCAGTCCTTTTGGACATCTGGAGCACTAACGAGACTAATAGACCACAGTGTGTCCCCCAGAGGACATCGCCATCATATCATATTCGCTGGCAGCTGGAGCAGTAATGGCTTCTTTTATGTGAAATGCATCCTGCTCTTATTGGCGCCGTGAGCTTCTTTCTGAATGAGGTAGGCTACAGTAACCATCCCTTCCTGTGCTGCACTGATGAGTGCGCGTCAAATCTGCACTAGCTACTACCGCCTCTGCTGCTGAGGGATCCACACACACTGTGTACTGTCCTGGTCACTCTGAGGGAGAAGCACGTTAACCCTTTGACCTCTGAGCTGGAGTAAACATATGTAGGTGGCGCCTACATGGTGAATCTCACTAACCAGTGCAGAGCCAGTGCTGGGGATTCGGGAACAGTTTATTAAAAACTAAAACGAATTGAGAACACGTCTAGGTCGTCTTAAAAAAAGAAGAAGAAAGAAGTCCATTGTATTATGCATAAAATATGTTTAATATGTAAGTATACATTTTTATTAGTTATAGTAAAACAAAACAAAAAATGTATATTTTTATTTGTATTATATTGATTTTTGTTAGTAATGTATTTATTTAAAATACCTTCATTGTGCCTCTGTCACATTTAATACATATTTTTAATGTAGATGATTATATTTGTTGTATATTGCAATATATTGAATAAAAATAGTTTTTTTCCTTTTCATTTCGTTATGTACTACAATAACTAAAACGGAAATAAATTGAATAAAAAAGTACAGAATAATGCAAACTAGAAAAAAGAGTGATGGATACATTCAAAGCATTTGTTAAGAGCATAAGGCCCATCTGAATGACTGACTGTGTGTGTGTCCATGTGGGTGTGTGTGAGTGGAAATATTAGACTTCCCCCAAGGCGTGGGTTCCTCGTTTAGTTTAGATTAAATCTGTTACCTATTTCACTGAGAGACAATATGTTCCTTTGAACAGTGTTGAGGGGGATTGTCCACCTGACAATGACAACAGAGTCAAACTAAATGGTAGAACGTGCCGTATCCTAGAAACATCTCAGACACAGAAATTAGCAAAAACAGATGCTATTCTCTCTGAGTAAAGTCCATTATGACATCATAGTGCAACATTTAAACAACCACACTGATATTTTTTATATTATACTTAAAGAAAACAGTGCAAATTAGAAAAAAGACAAAATATAAAAATAAAATACATCAAATCTAAACTGCCCAATTACATCACAGTAATGAGAATATGAGGAAATAAATGTTAATTTGTCAAGAAAACAATTACAATGCAAATAAACATCTTAATTGTGATTATGGTGATTTTATTCTGTATATGTGTGTGTAGTTATATGAGTGCTTGAATGAGTTGTGATTAAGTGACAATTAGAATTAAATTTTATTGCCTAACGAGTACACATTTGCATAGACACAATAAGAAATTAATGCTGCAATAACAATACATAGTCACACACACACACTCTCTCTCTCTTGCATATGCGGTACTCTGTAAAAAATGACCGTGAATTTAACGGTAAAAGACTGTAAAAATGCTACAGGAAAAACCTGTTAAATGGTTAACGGTAAATTCCCCTACTATATACCGTAAATTTTACGGAATTTTTTTTACAGTGTGGTTTTTATACTGTACAAACTATTTCCTTACCCCAAACCTACCCCTCACAGAAACCTACTGACAATCTTTGAATTTCAAAAAACACCATTTAGTCGGTTTAAGCCTTTTGTTTTATGAGCGCACGCACGCACACAGTCAGTTCTTATCTGAATAGATATTCTCTCACTTTTCGCGCACACACATACACACACACACACTCAAAAGCTGTAGGCAAGCAGAATGCAATCAGCCATACAAGAAAAGATGCACCCACGAGGAATCTCTAATCAAAAGCTTTGCTGCCGTAGAAACATGAGAGAAAGACAAACACCACAGCACACTACATCAAATCATCCACATACACTGAGAACACCACTAATGAATTTATAATGCTGTTTACCAGATTTTATATCAGCACCACTGCTTTATATAAAATAAGCTGGAAAGTGAAGTATGAAACAGGTGAAGACTGAACTCACACGGTTTTCAACTGGTGGGTTGCAACCCAAAAATGTGCTGCAGATCTGTTCTGATAGGGTCAGGGACAGTGGTGGAAAACAATGCTACATCCAAATAATAAAATGCATATTGTCATGCAAGGAAAGATAAAAATGTATACAATTTTCAAAACAGGAGAAAACACAACAGTATTTTGGTGCAAATTTATCTGTCAAATTAGATACCAATGGACAAGTTGTGTCACATGCTTTTAGTAAGGTCCTTAAGACAAACAGGATTCTTATGAGGAAGAACATGTGTGCTGCAAAACAAAGCTTTAGACAATGTGTGTGTGCGGTTAAAGCAAAATTATCAGTAATGAAGTTAAGTTCAGTAACATCTGGCAGAAAAACAAAAACTAAAGACTTTGCTGCACGTACACACACGATTTAACAAGCACGCAAATCTGGCTTACCATCAAGTGAAAGAATTAACATTGACATCTGTTGGTAGACAGTGGAAATGACACGTCTCAGGAAATATCCAGGGTGTTTTCACACACAATATGTTGTATGTTGTAACAGAATATGTTGACATGCTTTAATGTTCAAAAAACACATTATTTTTAAAATACTGTACATTATTGTAGGTCCTCTATGCCCCGCCTCTCTCAAACACGTCGTTTTCAACAAAGCCCCCTCCTTTGACTAGCGCAGTCTGCTCTGATTGGCCAGCTGACCCAGTGCATTGTGATTGGCCGAACTGACATGAAGACTTATTTATATAGACTTCATATTTTCTTTGCTTTATAAAGGTTTTCATAGCACAAACTAATTTATTATCTGAAACCGTCCAAAAATGACTGGGTCGTCTGGGACGCAAAGGCAGCTTTTTCCACCTTTTGACCACAAGATGTCGTTAGTGTGCACCGTCTTGAAAATCTTCGAGTAATTAACCTTTTTACGATACAGTTGAGGGGAAAGCCTCGGTGCTTCGCAAAGCTTCATTTTCCCATCACTACGAAAAACGAAACAAAACTGACACGACTAAATGAAACTAGATGAAACCAAATCAAATTAGATGAAACTGATTGTGAGTATACAGAAGTATGTCTTGGAGATTGATGGGAATTCACTGGGAGACCACTCAGGTGAGTATCACAGGTAACACATTTCAGGTGGAGACTGAGGCCCTGTCCACACGAACGTGGGCATTTTCAAAACTGCAGCTTTTTCTATGCAATATAGAGGCGTGTGCTCTTCTACTGCACTGGTGCAGATCTGGTGTGCTGATGGGGAACAGGTGCTGGTGATTAGTAATCAGGACTGTGACCATTGACTGACTGGGGTGCCTGGTAAACCTGTGACAAAAAGCAAAGCAACAAAACAAACTCTGACAATTAAATCAAATAATGAGTAGTATGTACACAGTAACTATTCCAAACAAAGCCAAATGCACTTTGAGAGTCATTTACTGAAGAAATTTGACTTGTTGGAGTAAAAAAACATTAAACAAATTAATTGAAGTATTTGTTTCTGAATTGCCATAAATTACTGTTTATCAAATTGGAAAGTCATCCTAATGACTGCAAAGATGTCTCTTTCCGACACTAATTGTTGTCACATGGTTAATTGTTCTAGAAGTGAGCTGGCTGTGCAATAATGCCTAAACCGACAGTGCCAAGGACAGAGCGCTCTCATCGGCCTCGGCTGCCGTGATTTACTGAGACAGATAATTAGATTAGTCACAAGTAAATTATAGTTAAATCAAAACATTTACATTTTTGCTCCATTAAGTCTTTATAAAGAATAGGAGGCAACATGATTTATTTACTAAAAAATTAAAAATTTAGGCTAATTAAAAATCATTGATGAATATGATGTGTGCAGGCACATTTCTAGTAGCCATGGGGAGAGCTGTTCATTAGCATTCCCATTTACATTTGCTAAAATAAAAAAAATATATAGGCTATATGTTGTCATAATGCACAGTGAAGAGTGATGGGGAAAAAAAAAAACAGTTGCCCATTTAGCACTACTGATTGTGAGAAGTGGGTCTCAGTGAATCACACACATGTACACACCAAACAGGATTAAGGGTTTAATGGTGACTAGTGTTTCCTGGGTCACATGATTATTTACAGCAGCGTGGCCTCGACTGACATCACCTGTTAGTTACTGTCCTAGTTGTCATTTATCTTCAGCAGCACTGACAGAGCCAGCAGACGCTGTTAACATCAGCTCATACACATAAACTGAGTTTACAGAGTTATAAGGCAATTCCATTATGAGCCATTAGAGCTAAAGTGCTCCTGAACAACTGTTCTTGCTTCAGTTTTTTAAAGTGCCCATTCGCTGATCCTGGATTTTTTCCCCACAGTTCATAGCCAGCGTCGCTACAGCATAAGAGGAGAGGATGACGATGGTGGATCCCACAAAATGTGAGGAGGCCCCCCGAGCCAGGACCTTCAGGGCTCTCCGTGGTATGGGTCCATCTGGGCGCGGTAACGTGTGAGACACTGACTCCATGATTCCCGTCAGGAGAAAATCCGGTTCACCTGGACCTTCTTCAGGAGAGCTGGAGATACAGACGTAGCTTCACAGGCTGAAGATGAAGACGCTTCAGGCTCCGCTGAGACGCACGTCCATTCATGAACACTGTGTCCCTTCTGTCTGTTCCTTCCTTTATAATCCATCCCGCCCTCATGACACGCATCAAATCCCTAAATTAGCCCAGCGTCTGTGTGCGTCAATGGGACACAGATAGCACAACAGAGGTCAGCTAAAGTGGGATCACACAGTCAGACGCGTCTTGAGTTTAATTCTTTTGGAGGAGTCCAGCAGAGGCTCTGTAATGCAGAGAAGGGATTTGAGCGACAGGAAGTCTCACTCTAACACTATTAGTCTAAAGAACGTGACAGGAGCCACTCACCAACATTGTGTTAAACTGCTTTATATTTTATTCAAAATAGCTCTCCACACCATCATTTTCCAAATAATTTCATACGGTGTATTAGTAAAACTCATTTTAAAAAATGACATGATTTTTTTCACTATATGATCCAACTGATCCATTTAAAAAAAATAAAAGTAATTAAAAGCCTAAAACAAGTTACAC